TTTCTTTTACAGGAAAAGCAACTTAAAACAAAACAAATAGGTATACACATCACAATTTGATGAATAGGAAGAGAGTAACAGCCATTATGTTGATGTTAACAATTCAAGACACTTTGGTTCACTTGGATGTTTGATATCATACAATAATATTTTCTTACATTTTACTTTTTAGAGACATAACAGACAATAAAATGCCAGTGTAATAACATTTTTTGTGGAGAGGAAGATTGTTATAATAGGTAAAGTTCTGGGTTTGGAGTCAGGAATACCTGGGTACCTATGCTGCCAGTGCCAAGAGTTTTGAGATCTTGGGAAAGTGACAATCTCTTTCAGTCTGACTTTCCTCATATTTGAATTGAAAAACATAAAGGCACCCATGTCACATGAACATCATGGAACTCACATAAAATATTGTACATAAATCATTATGCAAAGCTTAGTGTGTTGTATAAATGTTAACTATTATTATTGACTAGTTATTCCCATTAAACTCTTCATGCATATAGCACAGGTCTGGGAGTTTGTCTAATTGATGAAAAGCACCAGACAAAAGTTGCTTAATTTTAGAAATTTAATTATTTTTATCATTAAAACATAAGAACTGTATGGTTATCTGGTTAATAGTACAAAAGTAGAATTTTCAAATGATCCCTCTTCCCCCTCAAAAAAGGGAGGTGGGAGAGTTAATTGATAATCAATAGGAAAGATTTTCACATAAGCAGTTCTTGCTTAAATTACGATATCTATTTATTTTGCAGAGAAGAGGGGGATAGAACAATACTATCATTCTTTTTCCTATAATCACATGTATCTATTAAAGGAAAGTCTGATAAAAAACACATGTCTGTTTCTCTATAATTGCAATAAATGATTCCCTTCATCAATCTAATTTGCTTTTCTTTTTTTTTTAATAAAAAAGACAGATACAAATTGGATATTTTAAAGTAAATGATTCAGAAACATAGTAAAAGCCAGAGATGTCTTTACATTATCTGACAGTAATGAAAAACTGGCTACAAATATAATAAAATGTTATTTATTTAGATGTTTATAGGTCATTCCAACCAGTTGCCCTGGCACATGAATTTACCCCCAATATTTTCTTTGTGGCATTAATGAAAGGCAAAATGAATTACACAAGTGACCAAGTTTTTAACTTTTCTTTCTTTACCTCTGAAATAATACCTATAATGAATGCTAGACATGAGGTTGCTACAGTGAATTACAGATTTGAATGATACCAAGACATTGGCTTAGCATGGTACACTGAGACAAAGATTAAGAATCTAGCCCATCTACAAATTCAGGAGACTCACTGAGATCCTGGAAAGCAAGATCCCCACCATGCAGCAGTGGTCTAATAGATGTCATGTGCAACAAATCAGAATCCAAGAAACAAAATGAATGTCAAGTAGTTGACTTGAATTGTTTCATTCTCTAAATAGATTTTGGTCATTTTTGATGGAGACTGGTATTGACAAAAAGCTCTCCACTTGTTCCTCAGTCATATTGTTGAAAACTATGTTGGAAAATCCCATTTTCTGTGTTTAGAGTGAGGTACAATTAGGTGTATGTACTTGTCAGGTTTTCTGTAGCCTGTTTTCATAAGTATATTGATTTAAAAAAAACTGTATTATCATCGGTATTAATCATTTCATCAATTATTTATTTTTAATAGATATTCCCTTTTGAAAGACTGAATGCTTTATTTGAATTAGAAAGGTAGAGATTTGTATCCTGGCTTTTCTATTTACTGCCTATGATATCTTGGATAAGTAATTTATCTTTTCTTAACTTCAGTTTCCTCACCTGTAAAATAAAGGAGTAGGAGAAAATGAACTCTAATAGTCCTTCCAGCTCTAAACAGTATCAATCAACAAGCATTTTTTCAGCATCTACTACATGGCTGGCATCCTGCTAGGTCCTGAGGATACAAATATAATAAGTAAGGCAATCACAACTCACAAAGAACTTACAATACTTCTTTTTTTTGAAATTTGTCTTATTTTAAACTTAACAAACATAAAAATTAAACGGTCATTGCCATGTACATCGTAGAACAGGAAAAACAATATTGTATATGAAACTGCAGAGCTCTATTGTGTTCAGCCCACTTTTATTTTAAATATATAAGTTTATAGGGGAGGAGCCAAGATGGCACAGTGAAAGCAGTGACTTGATTGAGCTCTCCCCCAAAACCCTCCAAATGCCTGTAAAAAAAATGGCTCTAAATAAATTATAAAGCAGCAGAACTCACAAAAAGACAGAGTGAAACAAATTTTCAGCCCAAGACAACCTGGATGGTTGATTGGAAAGGTATGTTGCACCGGGAGGGGAGAGGAGTACAGTGTGGTAGCATGGGCCCACAGGCCTCAGCGAATCTGGAGCAGGCCTCAGAGGGCTGAATCATGGGCAGCTAAGGAAGTTTTCAGACTTCTCAACCCATGAACACCAAAGACAACTCAGGTCAGTAGGAAAAGTCTGTGATTGCAGTGAGAGAAGGGGCTAGGTCTCAGTCACAAGTCCTGAGTGCAGCCTCTGGGGGCGGCTACCTCCTGAGCTACCAGCCCACAGAATGAGGGGGGATCTAGTGGCTGATAAGAGGGGGATTTCAGGGATCTCTTTGTCAGTGCTGAGGCATGAATCTCTTGCTCTGCCCATGCTTGGATCTGGGTCACAGTTCTGAGGGGGTGTCCTGGGGTGAGGAAGAGTGCTGGTGTGGTGGAGCTGGTTGTGGTGGTGGAGAGGAAACACCTCTCCCCTTATCATACCACCTTGGAAGACCTGAAAATTTACAGTTCCCTAGAAGTACCTCTGAAAACAGCTGTACAAACCCACTAAGCTTGGGACAGTACATTCTCCACATTGGAAGTAGACTCTTACCTTAAGAAAGAGTTTAAACTCAAGTAATTGGCTGGGATCATGAATAAGCAGCACAAAAAGAGTCAGACTGTATTATCTTACTTTGGTGACAAAGAAGATCAAAACATACAACCAGAATAAGACAACAAAGTCAAAGCTCCTGCATCCAAAGCCTCCAAGAAAAATATGAATCAGTCCCAGGCCTTGGAAGAGCTCAAAGGGGATTTTGAGAATCAAGTAAGAGAAGTAGAGGAAAAACTGAGAGTGTTGCAAGAAAATCATGAAAAACAAGTCAATGGCTTGCTAAAGGAGACCCAAAAAAATACTAAAGAAAATAACACCTTAAAAAATAGCCTAACCCAAATGGCAAAAGAGGTCCAAAAAGTCAATGAGGAGAAGAATGCCCTAAAAAGCAAAATTAGCCACATGGAAAAGGAAGTCCAAAAGCTTACTGAAGAAAATACTTCCTTAAAAATTAGAATAGAGCAATTGGAAGCTAGTGACTTTATGAGAAATCAAGACACTGTAAAACAAATCCAAAAGAATGAAAAATTAGAAAACAATGTGAAATATCTCATTGGAAAAACAACTGACCTGGAAAATAGATCCAGGAGAGAGAATTTAAAAATTATTGGACTATCTGAAAGCCATGATCAAAAAAAAAGAGCCTAGACATCATCTTTCAAGAAATTATTCAAGAAAACTGACCTGATATTTTAGAACCAGAGGGCAAAATAGAAATTGAAAGAATCCAGTGATCTCCTCCTGAAAGAGATCTCCAAAGGAAAACTCCTAGGAATATTGTAGCCAAATTCCAGAGCTCCCAGGTCAAGGAGAAAATATTACAAGCAGCCAGAAAGAAACAATTCAAATATTGTGGAAACACAATCAGGATAACACAAGATTTAGCAGCTTCTACATTAAGTGACCATAGGGCATGGAATATAATATTCTGGAGGACAAAGGAGAATCACTTACTCAGCAAAACCGAGTATAATTCTTCAGGGGAAAAAAATGGTCATTCAGTGAAATAGAGGACTTTCAAACATTCTTGATGAAAAGACCAGAACTGAATAGAAAATTTGACTTTCAAATACAAGACTCAAGTGGAACATGAAAAGGTAAACAGGAAAGAGAAATCATAAGAGACTTATTAAAGTTGAAGTGTTTACATTCCTGCATGGAAAGATGATATTTGTAATTCATGAGACCTTTGTCAGTATTAGGGTAGTTGTAGGGAAAAAATTATATGTATGTATAGAAAAATAGATACATAGATAGATAGATAGAGAGCACAGGGTGAGTTGGAGATGAAGGGATCATATCTGGAGAATAAAATTAAGGGGTAAAAGGATTATACTAGGAGAAGGAGAAAGGGAGAGGTAGAACAGAGTAAATTATCCCACAAAAGACAGAAAAGAAAAGGCTCTTACAGTGGAGGGGAAATGGGGAATGTGAGAGGGAATGAATGAATCTTATTCTCATAGGATTTGACTTAAGGTGGGAATAACATACACATTCAATTGGGTATGGAAATCTGTCTTACCCTGAGAGTGCGGGGATGATAGAGAGGAGGACAGATTGGGAAAGGGAGTAATCAGAAGCAAATACTTCTGAGGAGGGACAGGGTCAAAAGAAAGAGTAGAATAAATGGGGGAGGGCAGGATAGGATTAAGGGAAATAGAGTTAGTTTTTTTACAGTATGTCTACTATAGAAGTGTTTTGCATAACTGCACATGTATAACCTATATTGGGTTGCTTGCCTTTTCAATGAGGGTGGGTGGGGAGGGAGGAAGGGAGAAAATTTGGAACCCAAAGTTTTAAAAACAAGTGTTTAAAAAAAGTTTTCATATGCAACTGGGAAATAAGAAATAAAGAAATCTATCCAGCCCTACAGGAAAATAGAAGGGGAAGGGGATAAGAGAAGAGGGGAAGAGATAGAAGGGAAGGCAAACTAGGGAAAGGGGTATTCAGAATGCATGCCATCTTGGGGTGGGGGGAGGGACGAGACGGGGTGAAAATTTGGAACTCAAAATCTTGTGGAAATAAATGTTGAAAACTAAAAATAAATAAATTTGTTAATGAAAAAAATAAATATATAAGTTTGAATTGATGCTTTAAAGCTGTCCTGCTTGTCTGTGTTGTATGAAATGAGAGAATGTTAGCACTCTCCTTGGTAAAATTGGAAGAGGTCCTAGTAGCCTTTATAACACATAAGGTTAAGGCATTGACATCTACTCTGTGGTAGCTAACCATATTTTTCAGGTAACTAGGAGACAAAGTGGATAGAGTACTTGACCTGAAGTCAGAAAGACTCATCTTCCTGAGTTCAAATCTGGCCTCTTATACTTACTAATTGTGTAACCCTGAGCAAGTCACTTAACCCTGTTTGCCTCTGTGCCTCTTCTGTAAAATGAGCTGGAGAAGGAAATGGCAAACCACTCCAATATCTGCCAAGAAAACCCCAAATGGGGTTGTGAATAATCACTCTCAACTGAACAACAAAGTTTGTCTATACTTCTTTTTGTTCTCTAAATTTAAAAAGAAAATAATGCCTCGGTGACATTCCTTTTTTTTTTTACCACTTTATCCCCATCTCTCCCCACTCCATCCCACCTTTTGCTCTCCTATCTACTCCCATTGGAAGTAGAAACAATTAAATTAGGGGAAGCCCTAATTAAACAAAAAATGTATTCAAAGAAAATAAATTCTCTTATTAACTGTGTCCAAAATGCATGATGCATATGGACTCCATCAGCTTTCTGTTTAGAGGTCAGTGACATGATTTATCATCAGTCCTTTGGAATAATGGTTGTACCATTGATTAAAATTTTTTTTAAAAATGTTCTTTATAATATTTTTATTATGGTATAACTTGTTTACGTGATTCTGCTGATTTCACGCTGTATCAACTCATATAGGTCTTCACAGATGCTTCCAAAACTAAAGGAACTTATCCTCTAACAGGGGACACAGCAAGGACATATATTGGCAAATAATATGATCCCTAAAACATGGCTTGCCCCAATCTGCCAAGAATTCATTATTGTCAGCACACATTTTGTCCCAAACTTCTATGACTGATTGGTCTATGGGAATCCAGGTTGAAGATGAGGTTTTTCTTTTTTCTCAGAGGTCAGTGCAAGAGCAGACTTTCTGCTGAGCACTGAGTAGTGTTTGAGCAGAAGCATTAAAGACAGAACATACAAACAGGCAGAACTCTTTGTAGTGATGAAATCGGAAATATCCAAGAGAGAAACATATCTGCAATGTGAACTAAAAGGTTGAGATGAATGAAAGAGGGATCATTCAGATCATCTGACAAGACCCTGAGTTCTAAGACTCCTTTAGTTGTATACTGAGTGAAGAAGCAGAAAAATACCTGATCTTGACTCTTACTTCATATGGAGCATGATGTACATGCAACAAGCTCCAAATTTTACACACACACACACACACGCACATGCACACACACATATACACATGGATGTATATATACATAAACATATATGAGTATACATGAGTTGTATATTTTTCATGTATATGGATACCCATGTGTTGATTGTGGCTATAATCTAAGTAGTATTTATCATCTTGGTAAAAAAAAACAGATAAAAATAGAAAATATTGAAGTAATAATACTGGAATGATTTTTTTCTAAAACTGTACAAAAAATAAAGATATTTTGGGGGGTTTATTGCACAGAAATGTTGGTAAAAACATTTTGCATATTAATTGTTCAATTATAACTACATTCCACGAAGCGTATTTGCACAACTAAATACTAAATTTTTCCCCCAGGCCCTTTTGTCTTGATCCTTACCTCTCTTTCCACCCAGTTCATTGAATAAATCCCCTGTGATTCCATTCTAAATGAAGTCTATTTTGCATAGTTCAACCTCTTCTCCTTCTCTCAAAAAAGCAATTTCAAAGGATTTTATTGGAAGAATATTGCATCTATTAGTTTTATATCCCAAAGAGATCAAATAAAAGGGGAAAGACTCATGTATACAAATATATTTGTAGTAGTTCTTTTAGCAGTTGTACATAAGTAGAAACTGAGGGTTTACTAACTGTATCAGGTGGGAATGGATGAACAAATTATGATGTGTGAGTGTGATTGAATACTCATGCCATAAGAAACAATGAAAAGAATGGCTTCAGAGAAATCTCAGAAGTATGAACCAATGCCAAGTGATCAGAACAAGGATAATAAATTATATAATATTAACATTATAAAGACAAAAAGAAAAAAATAACTTTGGAAGATTGTAGAACTCTGATCAATGAAATAACCAAACACAATTCCAGAGGACCCATGGAGAAGCATGTTGCCCACTTCCTAACAGAAAAAAAAATATGGAAGCAGGGTATAGTTTAAGATATTTGATTTTGGACTTGATCGACTATTTTTCTTAGCTATGTATATTTTTTAGGAGTTTTGATTTTCTTTTCTTTCCCTCCTATGTGGGGGAAGGGCAGATGTAGGAAGGAGGTAATTTTTTTTTGTTCATTAAAAAAGTTAAATTTTAAAATAGAGCTATTGCATCAATAATAATATAACTATTCTAGTTGCTTAATTATTCATAAGATCACAAAATTTTAGGGTTTGAAGGAATCTTAGAGATGACTCATTTGAAAAAAAATGGTTTCACAAACAAGGGAAATGAGTCCAAAGTGCAGTTAAGTGATCTTCCCAAAGATACTCAGCAATTTAGTAGCATGGTCAAACCTCAATCCCATTCTCCTGACTTCCAATGGTTGCTTTCATTACAGTAAACTGTATTGCCACCTGTTTTTCCTCCTTTAGATATTGACCAAATTAGCCAAATGCCTTTAACAACATTAAAATTCCATTTACTCTTTTTGGGGATTTAGTTGTGACATTTTCTATTGAAATTAGAAAAAGAACAAATTTCTTCCGTCTGTGTGATCTTGGGTGATTTCCTTTACTGCTTTATAGCTCTAGATACTCTGTACCTTCAACTATAAAATGAGGGAATTGAATCTTAAATGTACCTTCTGACTCTAAATATACAATCCTTTGATCAAAATGCCAATTGCTTGTTAAAAGAGAATCAATCAGTTCACAGGCTCTGTTTTCCTTATTAAATTGGGGAAGAAAGCAATTCTGGATTCATAGTACTCCACAAGAAAAGCACTAATTCTTAGAAGCTTGCTGCTTCTATTTCTATAGTCAAGGCAGAGAGAAATTGATTTAAGGGACCTTTCCCTTTGAACCTGAGGTCCATTTTCACCTTCTCATCTGGGACTCATACTTTACTCTCAATAAATAGGCTTGGTGCTTACATAAGGTCTTTCAGCTGTTGACACTCCTGCTCACATGTATTTGGATGGCATGGTGACAGCTTTACAATTTGATTGAACTGTTTGAATAGGCCATTGGGTTAAGTGGACAACCTGCTTAACACATCAAGTGTAGAGCCTTCTGTGGGGAGAGCCTCCTTCCTAATAAGATTCAAAATCAGTTGGCTGCCAAATTTCTCATTATTTTGGATGCCTGTTATCCAATCTTTACTGCAGTGATAGTCTTTTAGCTACAAATTGTAATTTTCTAACTGTCAAAATAAATGCAAAGTTTAATAGTGTACAGGGGAGTAGTCAATAGTAAAATAGACAATTAGGTACATATGTAACATAAACATCATTGGACTTCCAAAATTTTTTAAAGAAAGACTTATGGGGTCTTGCCCTAGAGATCTTCTTAATGAAGTTCAACTGATCACTGTCAAAATATCAACATGCCTAAAAAACATCTTAGTATTACCATGGAATTTGGAAGGGCAAATATACAAAAAATAGTATTGCAAAGTGTAAAGAGGATTGTCTCAGTAGTCAGAGTTTGTGAATTGTAATCTAGGTTCTGCTGTACAACTTGGTCAAATAGCCTAGTCTCTGCTTTGTATCTTAGAGCAGCAGGGGACCTTAGACACTACATACCCATAGACTGGGGAGTGCTTAATCTTTTTTTGGGGGGGATTCCTTGGGCAGTATGTTAAAACCATATTTGCAGAATAATATTTCAATGCATAAAATAAAATACAAAAGATTACAAAGGAAACTAATTATGTTAAAATAAAGATGCCCATTTTCCCCATAAAAGTTCACAGGCCCCCTGAAATCTACACATTGATTCTAAGTTAAGAACCCCTGATATAGGCGAATACTTTCCTCTTACTGATGATACCGAGACTATTAAAGTGATTTGCTCAGGGTCATACAGCCAGTGAGAGACACAGTCAAAATTTGGAATCAATCAACTGCTATTCTCTACCTCCAGATTCAACATCCTCCCCACTCTGCCATATTTCAGCTTCTATCTAGAGTGGGATTTTAGCAGCTTATACTTTTCTAATGTTCTTCCAGGATCTGAAATTCCATGACAGAATATCTAAGTTAAAAGGAACCTTATAGTTTGTTTAATCCAATACATTATAGTATGAGCAGACATTCTCCATTATCACTGACAAGTAGTTATCTAGTCTCAACTTATCAAAAGCAGTGCCTGGTAAGTACTAGGTACTTAATAAATCTTTATTGACTGAATAAATTATTTGGTATTGGTGGTGTTAGTGGTGAAGGTGATGATAGTGGTTGTGTCTGTTTCTATGTGTGTCCCTCTTCAAGAAGATATTCAGAAAATTCTTATTATGACAATGGTTTTCCTTTATATTGCTCCAAAACTTCACTTTGGTGTCCACCAGGTCCTCTAGTTTGGGACTCTGATCAAGTCAGAATAAGTCTAATCTTCCTTCCATGTGCTGACCTTCAAACACTCCAAGTGCCATGTAATTAATATCAGGGTAAATATTCCCAAATCTTTCAAGTTAACTTAATTTGACACAGTTAAGAATTTTTACAACCTCTCCTTTGCCCTTCTCTGGATTTAGTCATTAGGTTACTGTTGAGGCATCATAAATTCTTTATGAATTTTTCATGTCACATGATTCATAGGTTTATAATCGAGTAAAATCTTTTTTTTTTTTTACTTTTTCAGCTGAACTATTGTCTGGTCGTGCCTCCACCATCCTTTCCTTTTGCTGTTGATTTTTTCAACAGAAGTGTAGGACTTCATTCTTTTAACAAATATTTATTAAGTGCCTGCTGTATACATGTTAGTGACTGGGGAAAATCCAATGTTTACAGAAAATGTAGTCTGCACTCTTATGTAACTTTGACTGTAATATAGGTATAACAGATTTTAGTGACAGATAAATAAAAGATAGGATGCATGCATTAGCAA